CAATCAGTCACATTTAGTTTTGTCTGGCTTCTTTCATTTTATGTATTTGTAAGTGTAATTCATACACACTGTTGGTTGTGGTGCTTGGTTGCTTATATTTGCTGTATGGTATTTTGTTTTAGGAATTTGCCACAATCTATTCATTCTGTTGTTTAGTCTCTCTGGTTTGAGGCTACCAAAAGATCCAGAAACAGCAGCTCCTTTTAAGTGCTTTGTGCTCTCTTCCCCTAAGAGTGACCGCTATCCTGACTTATAATAGCATAGATTAGACCTGCCTGTTTTTATGCTTTATATAATTACAATCAGTCACATTTAGTTTTGTCTGGCTTCTTTCATTTTATGTATTTGTAAGATTCATACACACTGTTGGTTGTGGTGCTTGGTTGCTTATATTTGCTGTATGGTATTTTGTTTTAGGAATTTGCCACAATCTATTCATTCTGTTGTTTAGTCTCTCTGGTTTGAGGCTACCAACAATATTGCTACTCTAAACATTCTACCAACAGTCCTCTAGTAAACATAGGTGTTCATTTGTGTTTGATGAATACTTAGGAGTGGAATTTTTAAGTCATGGGGTATACATATGTTTAGTTTTAGTAGATACTGTCAAAGTTTTTTGAGGGTATTGTATTGATTTTTTTTATACTACTTAAGTAAATATTCTGTACTTCAGTGCCTAGTAGAACAATTTCCTTGGGAGAAAGGGACATCATTTTTCTTTTAGAACATGAAATTTTCTTGGTTACTCTTACATGTTTGGTCTTCAAAATAAACTTTTGTTAAATTGGCATTGGGTTAAATTTGTGTTGATTTGGGAGGCAGTGATATCCTTGTTCATCCATGAATAGCATTTGGAAGTAGCTCAAAATCCTTTGTCAAACCATTGACCCTTATTCCTTTTTCTTTTTTTTTGTAGAGGGGAGCTGTGGTGTCAAGAAAACATAGTCCTCTATACTGTGAAAATAAAAATACATTATAGATGAGCTCTACCATCAGTCACCTTACAACTAGAGGCATTGACAAATGTATACAGATAGCTATAATGTGAAGTACAACATATTTAGGATATAAATTAATAAATTGTTTAATAGTATTAGGAGCATATGGCAAGACCCAAAAAATACAGTGTTACTTACAGAAGAGCTTAGAGAACATTGTGAGATAGAGCCTTTAGAATGAGTAGAATTTTAACAAGGCATAGATAAGTCATTAGGGGATGGAAAGTATCTCTGAGTGAAGTGTCCGGAGAAGAAAAAGCATTGAAGTCAGAAGTAAACAGGTGTGAGAGCCAGTAATCCAGTGATGGTACTAGATCATCAGGTACCTGTTAATGATGTCATTCATTAACAGTGAGGCTTGTATGAATGAGTAGGGGTCAGTGGCAAGGGCCTCATATGATATGTGGAATTTTGAGATTTATCCTTTGGGCATTGAGAAAGGTGAGAATTTTGAGCATGAGAGTAATATGGCCAAATATGTTTCTAGGAAGATAATTCTAGCAGCAGAGTCGAGAGTAGAGGCAAAAGGGAAACCAAATGAATTAATGAGGATCTATGTTATGACAGTGTTGATATGCATGGGACAAAAAAGGTAAGATGTTTCAAAGAAACAAGTTACAGGATTCAAGTATAAATTAGAAGTGTGGTACAAATAAGCAAGAATGGCCTTTAGAATCAGACTAGTTGAGTGTGAATCCTAACGTCACTAGTTAAATGTCCTAAAATAAGACATCTAAGAAAACTTTCCTCTTTTCCAAGATGTTTATTATGTGAACATGTTCAAGCATTGGAAATATAGAAATGAATGATACATATGTTCCCTAGAAGTTTGCTCTAGTCTGAGAAGAAGTTGGACTGTGTTTCTCCCTTCATAACACTAAACTATGCATTGCAATTACATATATATTGTGGATTTTATTATTTGTGTTCATTCCCCTATCACATGAGGACAAAAGATTATGTCTTATTCACTTGGGCATCCATAGTCTAGTAGACATTTTTTAAAAATGGAGATATAATTGACATATAACACTGTAATAGTTTTAATTAGTAGAGACTTTCTGAATAAATTACTACTAAGAATTTGAAGGTTAACAGATTATCAACTCACATAGTGGTTAGGCTAAATAAAATTTAAAGGAAGAAAATAAAGATTGGCCGTAACTTTTTTAGTCTTTAAGAGGACAGCAAAAGTAGGTGCGCTTAAGGGGGAGTGAGTTTTTGGAGAAAAACTGAGTCTGATTTTAGATGTTAATGAGATATCCAAGTGTATATGTACCAATGAGACATCCAAGTATATGTGTACCACTGGTAATTAAGAGTAGTAGGCTCATGGAAGCAACCTTGGTGTCCATCAGTAGATGAATGGGTAAAGAAGATGTGGTACATATATACAGTGGAATATTATTCAGCCGTAAGAAGAAAACAAATCCTGCCATTTGCAACAACATGGATGAAGCTAGAGGGTATTATGCTCAGTGAAATAAGACAGGTGGAGAGAGACAAGTACCAAATGATTTCACTCATATGTGGAGCATAAGAACAAAGCACAAACTGAAGGGACATAACAGCAGCCGACTCACAGAACTCAAAAATGGACTAACAGTTGCCAAAGGGAAAGGGACTGGGGAGAGTGGGTGGGAAGGGAGGGAGAAGGGGAGCAAGGGGCATTACGATTAGCAAACATAATGTAGCGGGGAGCATGGGGAAGGCAGTATAGCACAAAGAAGACAAGTAGTGACTCTATAGCATCTTACTACGTTCCATTGATGGACAGTGACTAATGGGATATGTGATGGGGACTTGATAATAGGGGGAATCTAGTAACCACAATGTTGCTCGTGTGATTGTGTATTAATAATACCAAAAAAAAAAAGGGTAGCAGGCTCATAACTCGAGATAAAGGCTTAAAGATGTTGAGTTAGGGATCCTAGGTGTAGAGATGTTATGAGAATGTATGACATTGCACAGAGAATTAATTTCAGTTCAGAGTGGTCAGTGATAGAAGCTTGGAGAGTGGTCATAAGTGAGAGTTAGGAAGATTAACTAGCAGAAGACCCTATTGCTGTCAGCAGTAAGAGGACATAGGCACAGCATAACAACAAAAGCCAGGAAGGATGAGGAGTGGCTAGTAATGTGAAATGTTACAGAAAGAAAACAGAATTAAGGAGCCACAGAACTTAGAATATATAGGAATGATGATGACGATGTAAGAAAACATTCAGCAGTGAAGGTTTTAAATGTCAGCAACTGACGTGGTGGTTTTCAGGTCTTTCTAGTAGTTGAAGGAAAATAGGAAATCTTATTTTAAGAGGTTAATGGATTTATGTTAAGTGTATGAAAGCAGTACTTAAAAAGTTCTGTCTAACTGCATAATGGATAGAATGAGGAGAGCCTAAAGGCAGGAAGATTTAGGCAAGAAGGTTATTGGAACAGTCTTTGGTTAGCTGTGAAATTTATAAATAGTACCAAACTTAAAAGAGTCAACAAATTGCTTTAAGCATAAATATAAGACACAATAAACATGGTACAAAAGAAAACAGAAATGCTGAGTGGGCACAATAAAAAGTGATAGAAAAGGTGATTTGTGAAATTGTTTTGACCTAGGTTTAGAGGAAGTGAAGAAAATAGGCTGTTAGGACATGGAGGAAATACAAGAAGCAATAGTGACAATATGTATGTATACGTGTGGGTGTGTTGTGTGGAGAGAGTTGGCAGATGGAATATTACAAAAATAAGCAAAAATGTTAGAGGGGCAAGTGGATGTAGTTTAATATAGGCATTTGTTATTAGATAACAGTTTTTATTAGATTATTAGATTGAGCCCTCTGTTGTAGAGGGACACAGATACAAATAAGGGCACAGGTCTGGTATTAGAGTGCTACTGGTAAGTTTGCAGTGTGCCTACCATTTCTGGTACTTAGTTTTTGTTACTTAATCCTGTATCCTTATAGATTGATGTATTTCCTCTGTGGTTATGGGTTCCTAGTGTTCTAAGGCAAGGTTTCTCTAATTGGCGTCTGCAAATCACCTGAAATGTATGTTACAAATACACATATATGCACCCCCACTTCATGCACTGAATCATGGGCTCTGGAGGTAGAGATCAAGTATCTGCATTTTTTATAGATCTCCTAGGTGAGTCCATTCCAGAGTAGAGTTGAGACTGTTAGAGTAGAGTAGAGGTGTTAAAACTTGGTTAATCAAAAAAAATTACATGCACTGTATTGTTTCTACTGTCAGCCTAGGTTACTGGGTTGTTTCTTGATCTTTGGGACTTGGTTTCTTCATTTATAATAAAAGGAAATGGATTAAGACTTCTTTCAGTTACTGTTACAAAGAAAAATACGCTTGCTCTATACAAATGAGTTAAGAATTTACAGGGACTATTTGGGTGCATGCTTTAAAACTTAAGAATTAGGTTTTTGTTGAGTTAAGCTTTGATAGATATATTAAGTGTTTGATTTAAGAAATAATTGCTACCATATATTAAGCCCGTGTTATATGCCAAGCAACACTGTCCTACATACTTTATGTTTTCTCCAAAATTCAAAATAACTGACATCAGAAGACCTGCCCAAGGCTGCTACTCCAGGAGGTAGTAGACAGACACCCATTTATGAACCTAACAGCAGATTTCCAGCATACAGAATTTAATTAAAAACTAAATAGCTGTAGGTATGAAGGAATTAGAAGCATGTAGTCAAACAGTTGTCATATAGTTTTCAGCCCTGTGGGAGGGAGGGAAGAGTAAAGAAATGGCAAACACTAGGCTCTGGGTAAAGGGGAAGCTTGGCCTGCTGGCTGGAGGGCCTCAGGCTGCAGGACCTCTCACGTGCTCTGGTGACAGCAGGGGCACTTCCCTTTGTTAAGTTCTTAGAGATCACAAATACTATAAAAAATGAGCTTGCTTTTGTAATGAATTTTAGAAAAATGTTTTTCTTTGAAAGTTTATCCAGTTGTCTGTGTGAAAAGAATTGAGCAAGGTGTTTTATATTTTAGGTTAAAAATCTGTAAGAGCCTGATTTTAGAATTCACCAGCTCCTCAGAAGTTTGGCGAAATATGGTATGTTTTTGTTTTATTTTTTGGAATTCAAAATTGCATATGTATCTTCCTGTCATGATTAGAGTAATGACAATGTGTTCAGAAAATTCAGGTGCCTCCCATTTTTAAAGCATTCTCCTAGGTGCTAAATCAGGTAGGCTGTATGAGGGACTCAAGTGGGATTCTGAAATAATTTAGAAGAAGTTAGTATGTTCTGAGAAGTAAAATAATACGCACAAGAAGTAGGGGACAGGTTTGGTTGTTAAGCTGTGAGTTAATAGTTTTTATTTGTTGAGCTCTTACTATGTGGCAGACATTGTTCTGAGCAATTTATATGTTAGCTTGTTCATCCTTATGACAGCTTTTTGAGATAAATACTACTGTTATCTTCTACCCATGAGGAAACTGAGGCTCAGAGAGGTTAAGTAACTTGCCCAAGATTTCCCATCTACTGAGTGACCAAAAGGGTGCTTGAATACAGACTGGTTCTGGGATCTGTTTGTGCTCTGTTGGGCACTGGGCCTCATAAAAAAGAGGGGCTAGATGAGAGGACTTGATCAGTAATTTTCAAAATACTTGTAGGTTAGCCCTTTAATGGACTAACTCACCTCAGTTAATTAAGAGGTATTTTAACATTTTCATTCTTATGTTATAGATTGGAAAGTTAGATTTCTTTGGATCTTCTAAATCCACATGCACGTTAGTCTTATGAAAACCAAGAAGGAACATTATTCATTTCATGGGTGCCATTGTCTCTTCCCCATAGATTTCACTAGTGCTCTAGGTTCTTACTAGGAGACATGTAGTTATGATAGGAAAATCTGGGAAATTGAATCATTCCAGGGATTTTTAAATCCCATTTATTGAGGCCCCCTAAAGTTACTTACGTATACTTTGGCCAGTGTGCACCCTTATCTGATTTTGAAGCCTAAATTCAGAGGTTGTAGAGGTATGGGCTCAAGCACTGATGTTGCAGGACTTTTCTTGGGGTTCTCAGATACCCTCCTAATTTTCTCATCTTGCTTTAAGTTTGCTTTCCTATTTGGCCTGGATATACAGTTCAGTAGGGAAATCATCAGGAGAATCACTAGCTGCACAAAATGAGCTCTTGATACTGGGGTATTTCAGATGTATATCTTCTCCAGAATTACAGTATGATTATGATGCCTGATAAATTTGAACCATGACAAGCAAGAAAGTTCAGCTAAGACCAAATAAGGGGATCAAAAGAGATGTTCGCATATTTTGCTGTTGTCGCTCATGAAATTGAATTATTAGTGGATTTATGGCTGGAAAAGAGTAGAACATGTTTTCATGAAGTACCCAAGGGGTTTTGACTAATGTTTGATCATCTTTAAGTGTAGAATAAGCAGGACCAGCCTTTGGTATACGTGTGTGTGTGTGTGTGTGTGTGTGTGTGTGTGTGTAGATGCGTATGTAACTATACAGCCTTTGGTATACGTGTGTGTGTGTGTGTGTGTGTGTGTGTGTGTGTGTGTGTAGATGCGTATGTAACTATTCCAGTAAGCGTTCAGCTGCTGCAAATCCCTATGGCTATTAGTCCCAGTTAAACTATTGCCATAATTGTGAGTCTCAATCCATATTCTAAAACTTTGCTCCTTAGTGTATATTTATTCCATGAAACTCTAGCAAAACTAAACCAAGTAAAAAATTCTAACCTTGGATAGGAAGTTGGTAGATCTGGTTTTTAGTCCTATATTCAATACTAATTCCAAAATCTTGGGCAAGTAAATTAATCACTCTAAGGCTGATTAATTTATAAAAATTCTTAATGTAGTATTTACTTCGGTTAAGTAGAGCCAAAGTTGTCATGAGACTCAGACAAGGTACTGTTGACCCGAGTGCTTTGTAAACCATAATAGTTCATAAAAGTGTGAGAGTATTACCACATTTCCTCAAGTGAAGAGATCATTTAAGAAAAAAAATGCTAGAAAATAGTCTTTTAAAAGCATTTCTATGATAATTGCTCTTGTGATGAACATTGCATTTACACCTGATTCAGAGCTTTGAAGATTATTTTTTGAACTATGAATTGGGTTTATAAAAGTGTTCTAACTAAAGATTTGTTTAATTTATTAGAGTTATTAAACCTACGCTCAGATCAAGTTAGCAGCTAGACTGGTGTGACAACCTGTTTTTAATCAGTGACTCAAAGCTGTGATCTCCCTGATGTCACCGAATGGCCACAGCTTGTAAAAGGTAATTTTGAATGTTATTTCACAGCCTTTAAAAGGCTGTCATTGTAAAGTAAAATACGTGCTGTAAAAAACTGAAGAAAATGTGTATTTCTCAGAAATACCTAAGAGTGGACCTGCTTCTCCATGTAATCTCCTTCCTAAAATTGTGCTTTTTTTACCCCCGGATCTATCTGTAATAAACAGAAAAGTATCTGTCAAAAATACCAAGTTTTTGAATAAACATTTTATTATGAACATTATAAAAACTGAAAAAATTATTAATATGAGTTCTTAAGTATGCCTTTTATGTGGTGAGAGTTTAAACACCTCTCTAGAAGTTTTTACAAATTAAAATTAGTGTACTTTCTCTCCTAGAGAGTTACGGTGAAGGTACTAGGAGTGGCTTGCAGACTGGAGAAGCTGCCCCCAGTACTATTGGAAATGAACCTCCATTTGAATTTTCTAGCTCAGGCTGCAATGTTCAAAATACCTAATGGGTATTTTGTGATCCCTTTTTCTACAATCCAAATCAAGATCTAAACTCACCCCAAATTTATTCTTCATTTTCTAAAGTTATCTGCTTGTTTCAGTTTTAAAAGTTCTTTTCTGGCTTGTTACTCTGATAAACTTTAGGTTAACCTAAGTCAGTAGTTTTTTTTTCTTTCCCTTTCGATATATTGAGAATTTAGTAAAATTAAGAGCATGTACTGGATCTTTACTTTCAAAAACTTGATAGTAAAGAACAAAGAGACTCTTTAAGGGCCAAAGTAAGCCTTGGAAACTGTTACTAGATGTTCGGTATTTCATGGTTTTGAGAGTTTGAATCCTAATGTTAGGATATTTTGTGGTAAATTATTTAGAATATTACAACAATATGAGCAGAATGACTAGAAGAATTTATTCAGACATGTACTATTACTTATTACTCCCTGCACGAAGAGTGTTTCTGCTAATTCCATGTATATATACTTTTCTGTTGATTAAAAAACGATTCACTTTGAGTAGAAAACAACTTGTCCTAACCATGTTTTAAGAGACCCAGGATAGCTCTGTTTTAGGGTAACAATCTTTCAATCCTTTCTTTTACTTTTTGTCCTTTTAGACTGAACTTGCTTAAATTACTTGATTGGACCTATAAATGATTTTTAGTAGCTCATTTTAACATGTCAATATTAAATGATAATCCAGATATTTACAATGATTTGGTAATATTTTGATGCTAATGTTTATGTATCTGTTTAGGGAACAGAAATTGGAAAATAGAATGTGTTACCATTTGATGATGTATCTCTATCCCATTTCAGAATCTCAAAACTGCAGCAGTTGCATATTATGCTTCTAAGACGCAGATTTGCTTGCCTTCTTGCCTTCTTGCTTGTGTCTTTCCTTTTTGCAGTAGCATTTTAATTTTCCTACCACTGTGTTTTTTTCCCCCTCTGTCTATTTTCCTGTTAATTTTGAAAGTTTTGCTGCCTACATGTTTGAAAGCTGCTAATCTGCCTCTCTTCCCTTAGTGCCAGCAGGTTTATTTTTTGTTTTGCAAGCCTGCTCTGCCTCTTACAGTATGACATCTGATGCTGAAGGGTCGCACTTTCAAAAATGAGTCAGCTGGTACATGGGGTTATCATCAGTTTTTAGCTCTTCTGTCTGAGAGATACAAGTTTGGAAGCAATCTTGGGGTACTTACCCACAAGGCTGGTGGAGACCAGGTGTGTCACAAAGGTGATTTGCTTGCTCCCTGGGGGAGAGGGTGGAGTGAAATTTTTGCATTTGTGTCACTGCCAAGTCACTGCCACCTCCAGTATGCTCCAATTTTTAGTTCTAACATAATTTTGTGTAAAATTGAAAATGTAAATATACTGCAAGTCTTCTGGAGTCTTTTTTTTTTTTTTTTTTTTTTGGTTCATTCTTGTCCTTGGACTCTGAAACTGCAGTGAAGGGTAATTTTGAAAGTGATGAAGAGGTGAGCTTTTTAAAAGCTAAGAAATGTGGAAACATCTTTTGTTTATTTGTGTGTTTTGAAGCAGTTTTTTTGATGTTCTTTTCCTGGTGGCTCTGATTTTAAGACTTTTTGTTAAAGTTCAAACTTAGAAGTCTCAAGTCAGATAAATTCACAAGTCAAGTCCTTGTAATGTCATTTTGAAAATTTAGCTTTGATGTCTAAAATATATGTTACCTATTTGAAGGTGTAAGAAATCAGTGTTATGATTCACCTCAATGTGTACTGACTGATACTGTTTGTAAAAATGACTAAGGTAACAGGAATTTTTTTTTTTAACAGCGTGGTAGGAATAGGCAGAACTGGTTCGTACTCCAAAATGAAAATGAAAGACTTATTAATATATTAGAATTTTGAGTATTTCTTGATAAGATGGCAGTATATTAAAAGTAATAGAAAATAACTGCTAACTATTTATAATTGAAGTCAGTTCACAGTTACCTGTAGCAAAATGTTAATACGCCAGGCCGATGACGATACACTTTTGACAGTATATCCTGCCAGTGTGTTTTCAAGGAAATCTAACTTCATTATTGAATCAAGATAATCATGATCAGGGTGGTAAATCTGACTAAAGTGTCTCAGAATTTACTGTGGGTATTAGAATTAAATTTGAGTAATCTAGAGAAGAGATTAACAATTTTTTTCCTAAAGGATCAGATAATAAATATTTTAGGCATTTTGGGCAATATGTCCCTTTTGAGTTTCTCAGCTCTGCTCTTATAGTGTGAAAGCAGCCATAGACAAAATTGAATGAGTGTGGCTATGCTCCAATAAAAGTGTACAGAAATAGGCAGCTAACCTAGGTCTCAGCTTGTAGTCCCAGGCAGTAATTTGCTGACACTTTATCTAAAACTTTGGGACTGTGAATATCAGTGAGTATGTTTGATACATTGGATAACCAATGCTTGGCTGTAGAAAGTTTCATAGTTGTATGTTTTTATTATAAATATTTGGCTTTGTGAATAATTAAGATATATTATACTGGTTTGTATGTTCGTATTTTAATACAGTGTTAATAGTTGCCTTAGGAAAAAAAGCAGTGAATTTTTTTATTTGTCCAGCCTTAACAATAAATGTGTCATATGGCAATCTGATCTGCACACTCTTTTCTCATGTTAAAGTCTTTACTTTTAAAAGTGTTAACAATGAAATTTTGTATTCAAATTTGCCTTCCAAAATAACATGTCTGCCCCTTACTGGAATATGGAAAATTTTGCTTAACTTTCCTCAATTGCATTTCACAGATCGCCAGGAGAACCTCAGTCTGACGACATCGAAGCTAGCCGAATGTAAGTGTAAATTGGTTGAGGCTGTGGTGTCTTTTAAGTTGCCCTAGATTGCTTTAAAATGGTATCACTTTATGTGAAAATAATTTCCAGTTTCAAGAGAATAATGCTTTAAAAAATAGATTGGAGCATAAGAATGTATCTGCTTTTTTCCCTACCAAACAAATACCTCTAAACTATTGTAACATGTCACTAGATCTCTACTTACAGATGGTAATTGTATACTCCTGAATTTTTTTCTTTTTGCTCACCTAGCAGTTGGAGGGAAAGAGAGAGATGGGGAAGGCATTCAGTTTAACAATCATTTACCAAGTGCCTACTATGTGTAAAGGCATCAGGTGCTGTGTTGTGAATACAAAGATGCGCAAGAGTTTCTAACCTCCAGAAATGTAAAGTCTACTCTGGGCAAAAGACTCAGAAGCATATTTTTTCTTCATTGTGGTATGATACCCAGGTTGTAATGGGAACATAAATGAATACGGGGGTACTAAGGTATCTATAGGAACCTAATCCAGATGGCAGGGAAACAGGGGTGGCCAGGGAAGGCTGAATTAAATCTTGAAGCATGATGGGAGTTAAGTAGCTGGAAGCATGGGCAGAGTTGTTTTAGGCAGAAGCATGAGCAAAGTTATAAAGCAGCATAGTGAGTGTAGGGAACAGCTGAGGATTGATCATTGACTGACGTAAAGGCAGGAAAATGAAGAAAGGACTAGGGCCTTGCATGCTATGTGAAGGGCCTTAGACTGTGTCTCTTAATTTGGGAGTAAAGAATTTGCCTCATAAGGGATAGTAACCTTGTTAGACAGATGTATATTTTTAATGATTTTAGCAACAGGGAAACACTGTGAAGAGAAATATATGATGATAGGGTGACCAGGACTTCAGTTAGTGAGAACCTTAACAAGGGCAATGGTGTAATAGGAATTCAAGGTAAAGTTTTCTGTATTTAAGACAGATATTTGGAAAGTGAAATAGGCCTGACCTAAGTGATTAGAAGTGAGAATTTAAGAAGTTTATGATAATAGGCGAGGTAACCTCTAAGCAACATTTTTGAGTAATACAGTTTATAATGAAAATATAGGTAGTGGGATTGCTCTTGAGTAAGAGCAAAGACCTTCATCTTCTGAAACTAGGAGGTAAAGATAGGTATGCGATGTTAAACTTGCTTGTAGGTAAGAGTAGGGAAGTCAAGTCATTCATGCCTGAACTCTTTATTTTCTCAATAAATTTGTTTAGGTTTCCTACACCACTGTTTTTCTCTCCTTTGAGATGATATTAGGTGCTTCCTGAAAAGGAGGTGTGATTGTTGAGTAAGTTTGGGAAATGGAGCTTAAACAGCAGGTTTCTTCACTGAAAATAGTGGAAATCTTTTAAAGTTGTGATGTGTATTGTGAAATCTCCACCAAAGGACTATAAAATGTATTTCTCAAATTTATGTGTCCATGTAACCTTTTTATTTTGTTTTTGTAGTAAAATTAACATAAGAAAATTTACCATCTTTATTTTTAAGTATGCAGTACGGTATAGTTTTAAGTACCTTCATATTGTTGTGTAACTCTATAGCGACCATCATCTCCACAGCTCTTTTCGTCTTAAAAACTGAAACTGTACTCATTAAACTATAACTCTCCATTCATCCCTCTCTCCAGTCTCTGGAAACTACCATTCTACTGTCTCTGTGATTTTAACTACTATACCTCATGTAAATGGAATCATACAGTATTTGTCCTTTTATGTTTGGCTTATTTCCACTTTGCATAATGTCCTCAAGGTTCATCCATGTTGTGGCATATGTCAGAACTTTCTTTGTTTCAAAGCTGAATAATACTCTGTTGAACGTATGTAACACATTTTGTTTATCCATTCATCTATTGATGGACACTTGAATAGCTTCCCTGTTTTAGCTGCTGTGAATAATACTGTCATGAACATTAGTGTACAAATATCTCTTTAAGACCCTCTTTCAATTCTTTGACTATCTACCCAGAAGTGGAATTGTAGGATTGTATGGTAACTCTTTGTTTAATTTTTTTAGGAACTTCCCTACTGTTTTCCACAATAGCTGTATCATTTTACATTCCAGCCCATAGTATACAATGGTTATAATTTCTCCTCATTCTTGTCAGTGATTATAATTTTCCCCCTGGTAATAGCCATCTGATGGGAGTGAGGTGATAACCATTGTAATTTTTTATGAAACATTTTTGAATAATGTTTTGTGGAACATCATCAGGGTTTGGTTAGGGGATTTGAGAACACTACCAAAACTTGAAAAAGTACTGTGGGGAATGGATGAAGAAGTGGGCCAAATATTATTGATAGTCTCGTGCTACTGAGTGGCCAGCTGAGGTTCGAGAATTTATCATACTTTAAAGACTACTGTTTAATAGTCAGAAGAAGATGCATGGTGTTTTAGGGTTAGCAGAGCAGATAGGACAGAACTACTAGTAGCAATGTGCTTAGGATGTTAACATTCGAGTAGCTGCATTTCTGTGTCATTGGTGATGGCCATGATTGGAAAGACTGTTGTGCCAAATGAAGGTGTCACTTTGGTCACAAAAAGCCTGATTTGTCAAAGAGCTTGTTCAGTATAAGTGAAACATTTGTAAGGATAGATGGTGATCAGAAGTTGGGTTATTTCATATGCTTAAAGTAGTGATTGTCTGAAATAGAGGCAGTGGATGTCCCTCCAGTTTAAACAATTAAGTATTTTTTTGAAAGGCTGAAGTATTGGGATAGATCATGCACAGACATTGAGTCACCATGCTGATGATATAAATGACTGGAGCCAAAATAGAGCCTTCAGTATGTGGGTATAATTTACCAGAACAGAGAGGAAAGGCAGAAGATACTTAGATAGATAATATGTTTCAAATTAGAAGTGTTGTGTTTGTGTTTTGTTTTGTTTTTTTAGGGGGTGGGCATTGTTTATTTTAATACAGGTTTTTAGAATAATTGACATGGGGGTTCTAGTTACCTGTGAAATCTTCACATAAAAGGGTTGCAGAATAAGCAATGCTTTGGGGAGTAAGTCAGGCTTTAATGAAGGCTACGTGGTTGAGGAATCATTATACAAAGCAGTTGAAGATATGGGACAGCCTGTATCACAAACGTGTTTGAGGAGATCTTGGTGGAATAGGTTAGGGGAACGACTCGAGTAAAGAATGGAAAAGGATAGATGAGGCTTGTGTTTTTGTAGTAAAGTGAGGATGGCAAGAATGTGAGGGATAATAGGGTATTTTTCACAAGATTCCAGGTGAAACTCTAATGTTAAGTTCTCGTTGTGAGCAAGCTGTCATACTATTTAACTTGACTGTTCTAAGGTATAGGAAATTAGAACTGCCATGATCTCTGAACGGTGATGTCTAAGGCTCTAGCTGTAATTGCTATGAGAATATAACTCTTTAGTCTACATGTCTGCCACCATTTCTCAATTCCTATACCTATGGAAACCATAACCAGGCAGTAAGTAGTTCAATAAGATGAATAGGTACAGGTTTGTTCAGCCATAAACTTGTGAGTTTTGATTTACAAAATAGGTTTTTGTATTCTTGGTTTTACCTGAGAATTTTAAGGTGTTTGATTAACGACAATGTCTTACATTTATTGAAGCTTTTTGTTGCTGTTGTTGCTTAGAAACCTGTTTGTATTTGTCACCTTTTAACTAGGGACACCTTTAGTGTATTTTAAATAGTAATTGTTGTAAAATTAAAGAATATATTTTTTAGCAATTTAGTCTTGCCTATTTCCTAGGATGCAGAAAAACATAGTACAAATTTTGAACAGCTGCATCCCGTTTTATATAGTTTGGCCTAGAAATAGAACTAACATAATGACCCTATATCTTTTATTCAGTATATGTATATTCTGGATTCATATGTGTGTACTTGAATTTTGTTTAAATATATATATATAAGTTATAGTAGAATCTTTTCTGCACGTAGTAATTAAGACTCTAATTAATGATTTCTAGTAACTTAAGATTTCTCATCTTTGGTAGTTACTCTTAGACCCTATCTCTAACATGTAAGCTATGTTTTCAACTGTAAGAGTAAATGGAGCAAGAACAATGGACAAAGTGATTCCTGGTTCAGTATTTAGCACAGTATTGAAATAAACACTGAGTTTTCCCTAAATGTTGGAATGACCCAGGACCTAGTCCTCAGGTCATCATTGCTCTTTATCTCTGGGGAAGAACTTTACTTGTATGCTTTGACAACTCATATATTTCCATCTTTAACTCTGACTAGCCTTCTGGATTGTAGACTCATATATCCAATAGTGGAATGTCTGATTCTCAAACTTAACAATACAGATTAGAACTCCTGATTTTCATCCTCAAATCTACTTCTCTTATAATCTTTTTTGCGATTTCAGTCAGCAGCAACTTCTTTTTTCTTCCACGTCTTCCAAAACATTGGGAGCATTCTTCATTTCTCTCTGTCTCACTGAAATTATCACCAAATCCTGCTGCCTCCAACTTCAAAGTATCAATAATTCAACCACTTTTTTTAAATACCATGTCCACCTGTTTCACTCTGATTAAAGCCATCATCCTTTGCCAAAAGAATGAAATTGCTTTCCAGTAGTCTTGCTGTTTCCATCCTTGCCCCTTACAGTGTATTTTCTGTGTAGCAACCAGAGTGGTCTTTTAAAAATTGAAGTTAAACTTTGTTACTTATGGTCAAATCTTTTCAAAGCCTTCCTGCTCCTCTTAAAATCTAAAGATCTACAAGGCCCAGTGTTAGCTCCCTTTCATTTCTGTGGACTTTCCATTTCTCTTGTTCATTTCTACTCACAGGCTTTATACTCTTGCCCCTAAGTCTTGGTGGTATGTCTATTGTCTCTGAGCCTTCTCTTGATACCACTATGGGCTCCTTTCTCACTTGCTTCAGGGCTGTCTTCTCAGAGAAGTCTTCCTTGACTAACTTGAATGAAAGAATGGTCACATTCTGTCTTCTCTGTTCCTTTTACCCTGCTGTGTTTATCTTCACAGGATTTAA